TTTGGTCAGTCCATCAGTGAGCCATCAGAGAGACGCTGTTGTCTGACCAAACATGGGAACAGACAGCAGAAACCAAAGGTCTGTCGCTTACAGAAATGGCGTAAAGTTTCCCTAACCTGGCTGTCATCATGCACTGACTTAAATGTGTTAATAAAATGAACACTTCAGGAGCTCAAAAGCAGAAACTCCAGTTTAAGAGGTGATGGGAAGGAAAATTGCTGCCTTTTGGATAGGCCAGGGGAGTATTGATTGACAGCAGAATGTGATGTGGGATTGCGGAAAGGACATTAGCTCTGGAGTGACACGCCTGTTCTCCTCCATCCTTCTTCTGCCACTTGCCAGCTGTGGGCCCTTGAGGGAAGTTCCTTCTCTGAGGTCAAATTCCCCACAAAAGAGGATGTCCATTGAGTGAGAATGAAAGGAAATGTAAGTGGCTGATAGACGAACAGGCTTCAGTCAATGAGCTCTATTATTGATAAAAGAAAATAGATTAAGGGGAAAATTTAACAATGGCAAATCACCAAATTCTACTGTGTATAAAAGAAGCATGTGGTAAGAGGTAATACGTAAAATGTTTATGCAGTCTTATCGGAAACATGATGTTAGAACCCAGGAATCTCCTAAAGCTGTTATTGATGAGAAAATCAATTATAAAAACAGGCACACACCATATATGGTAGGATCACATGTTACTATACATGGAGAGAGATGCACATGAATAATTAATGGCTAATTTTAGGTCACAAAATGTCCAGTGCAGAACAGAGACTTTTCACTTTACTTGCCAGTCTGCTGCCTCTAAACATCTGAAATTGACTCAAACTGACAGGAGCGGTTTGGAATTTGCCTCTGACATGAACCCCTTCCTCTGGGTTTATACAGGTAAATTGGGGTGCCAGCCCTTTCTGGTTCTGTTACTGAAGAAATTGATGGCTGCTTGAGGAAGGCTAAATGGTCAAGTATGTAACAATTGGGTAATTATAAGAACCACCAAAAAATTGGGTAAAGGCTTGAACTTTTACAGGGTTGTATAAACTCTCACCTATAATAATACTTGCAGATTGTTTTCTTCCTTAGGGGAATTTGGCTTTGATAAAGTAGGCTTGAATGACAAAGCAGAAAACACTAAAGGAATGTCTAGGAATTTTTCACTTCCCTCTTCCTTAATATTAGCTTTATATCATCCAAATAACAAGTATCCAATTTGTAGTCTATTCAATTAAATAATTACTGGGCCCCTACTGTATACAAGGCACCATTCTGGGTGCTGGGGATGTAACAGCTGATAGAATCATCAGCAGTAGTTTCTCTGGAAAGGACCAGGCAGTAAAAAGTTTTTGCTTTCTGAGCCATAGGGTCTCTGTGTCAGCCAGTCAGCTCTGCTGTGGTCACATAAGAGCAGCCATAGACTGGCAGGGCACGGTAGCTCATGCCTGTAATCCCAGCACTTTGGGAGGCCCCGGTGGGCGGAAGGGATCACCTGACATCAGTAGTTTGAGACCAAACTGGCCAACATGGTGAAACCTCATCTCTACTAAAATTACAAAAATTAACCGGGTGTGGTGTCAGGCACCTGTAATTCCAGCTACTCAGGAGGCTGAGATAGGAGGACAGCTTGAACCCTGGAGGCAGAGGTTGCAGTGGGCAGAGATTGTGCTATTGCACTCCAGCCTGGGTGACAGAGTGAGACTCTGTCTCAAAAAAAAAAGGGGGGGGGGCGGGGGATAGGGGGCACCTTTCAAACTTTGGATATTTTGTTGATCCAGGTATCAAGCAACTAAAAACTGCAGGAAGAGATGTGAAACCTGTTTTGGTAACAAAAAGTGAAAATCCCCCCACCCCGAACATTGTATATTATGCCTTGAGCTTAAATATATATATTTCCTGGATTGCATAACATACCATGATATACCAATTTCATTTTGAAAAATACATGTGTTTAATATTTTCTGATTACAAAAGTATGCGTTATAAAAAATTTAAGTACAGAATGAATAAGTATAAAATTCTAAAAAGTCTCAGTTCACCATACACAGAGATAATTTATCTGCCTTAAAATTGTGTTCCATCTCTATTTAATTTTTTATGCATACATATTAAAAACACAGCTTCCTTTTGACACAGCTGGGACCATCCTTACATAGTTAATTTTAAAAATCTTGCTTTTTCTACTTAATCATGTTATGATTCTCTCTCTTTGCCCTTACTGTTCAACAATTTTTTTTTCTTGGAAACAGAGTCTTTCTCTATCGCCCAGGCTGGAGTGCAGTGGCGTGATCTCAGCTCACTGCAACCTCCGTCTTCCGGGTTCAAGCAATTCTCCTGCCTCAGTCTCCCAAGTAGCTGGGATTACAGGTGCACACTGCCACGCCCAGCTAATTTTTTGTATTTTAGTAGAGACAGGGTTTCACCATGTTGCCCAAGCCAGTCTCGATCTCCTGAGCTCAGGCAATCCGCCCACCTCAGCCTCCCAAACTGCTAGGATAACAGGTGTGAGCCACTGCACCCGGCTGTTGCTCAACAGTTTTTATGTCCCTGTAAAAGCTTCACGCAGATACACCATAATTCACTGAACCCTTCTTCCACTGACACGCATCAGGCTTTTCTCTGTTTTTCTGCATATACAATGGTATAGCGGCAATTCCTAAACGTTGCAGTTTGTGTGAATCTCTGATAATTTCCTTAGGATACATTTCTAGAAATTAAAATTCTAGGCCCAAGTACAGTTTTAAGGTTTTGCTACCTATTGTCAAACTGCTACGACCCTTCTGGAGAGAAATGTACATTCCCAATAGCAGTGTGTGAGAATGTTTATTTCACGTTAATCCTCTTGCGCTTCATACTGCCATAATATTTGCACATTTCTCATTGTTACACATGGCTTATTTTGCTCTGATTTGTGTACTTTAAAAATATATTACCAGTGAGTCTTTGATGACTGCTTCATGTTTCTTGGAGGTATTTCATTCCTGTGTGTATCTGGAGTTTTCATCTTTTGAAAAAAATGACTCCTAAGAGCCCTGCATATTGTTATATTTTTACTAATGCTTTCTTGCTGGTTTAATTTTGGGTTAAGTTTTTCTGATCCACAACAGCAGAGACATTGTTCTCCCTCCTGCAATTTCACAAGTTAAAAAATCAACTAAAAAAATTCAGGCAGTCCTGGCATGGTGATTCATGCATATAACCCTAGCACTATGGGAGGCCAAGGCGGGTGGATCACAAGGTCAGGAGTTCAAGACCAGCCTGGCCAACACAGTGAAGCCACATCTCGACTGTAAATACGAAAAATAGCTGGGTGTGGTGGCGGGCGCCTGTAATTCCAGCTACTTGGGAGACTGAGGCAGAAGAATCGCTTGAACCCGGGAAGCGGAGGTTGCACTGGGCCAAGATTGTGCCACTGCGCTCCAACCTGGGTGACAGAGCTAGACTGTCTCAAGAAAAAAAAAAAAAAAAAATTGAGGGAGAGACAAACACGGCATCTAGAAAAACAGTGATCAACTCTCTATCCCAAAACAGGTGATGGCACCCGGGGAAGCCTCTTCCCACAGTTAAAAGTTCTATCAGGAAGTTGTCCAGAGCCACAAGTTCAGACCTTGCTCTGCGGCCTCTCTGATTGAAATGCAAAGTCTGTTTCCTAATTAACTCAGAACTTTTGTTTGATTTTGATTTTGGCTTTTTAAACACCCCAGGGGAGCACAAGTGAGAAGCTGAAAGTACACAGCAGAGAAGGGTGGGCCCCCTCTCCCAGTGCATTCGAAAAGACGTCGCATCTTCACACACCTTTCTTCCGTGCAGGTCTTCTGGGGTTGGCAACCCTTTGAGTGGGCGCCAAACCTCAGCCTGCATTTATTTTCATTTTCAGACACAGCACTGTTGAGACGAAGGAAAGCTGTCTATCACAGATGTTAAACAATTGGAGGTGTAATGACTCCGCAACTGCAGTTTCCACACTGGGTGTGGTGTGGTGTGTGCACATTTACACAACTTCTTTGGCAACAAAGTCGCTTAGGAGGATGCTCTGATGTGAGCAGATTTTCTGCCGAGACAAAAAAACATAGTTGAGGGATTTATCTCTCTCCCTTTCACAGTTCTTGTCTACCAGCCCCTGGCAGAAATCACCATTTCTTCGGCGAAGGAATGCTAGTTTCCAAAATCCTTTGGCAGAATCTCCTAGAGAGTTGTTTTTCTGCTTCCTAATTTAGAAAGAAGTCTTCAAAGAAAAAAAATAAAAAAAAACTTGACAAATTAATGTGAGAAGAAACGAACTGTGATATAATTTTGCATTTCTTTCATGAAAAGTTTGAGTTTATCATCTATAACCAATAAAATTGGACAAGATAATCTTGGGGAGAAAAGTAAATGAAAACATGCTGTACCCCATGATCGGACTGTTCTTTATTTTGGGGTCAATAAGTAACGTGATACAAACTCAAGACTTTATTAAAATATCATTTGTAAGTGAAATTAACATATCTCAGTGGTGAAGGAAGACTTTTAATAAAGCAAAATAATGAGTTATGTGAATCAACAGGAAGAGTGAAAAGTACTAACAGTGACATTTAAATGGTTACATGACTTTAATTATTCTTTGGATAATAAGCAACCTTGTGATGTCTATTCAAGAAAAGCCTGTGCCCACTATGCAATTTGCAGTTGAATAAGAGTTTTGTTCTATGCTTTTGGTAATGTAAAAGAAAAACTGGAAACGGTTTAAAGACCTTGTAACAATCTCCCACCTACCAGAAGAATCTAAAAGGTACGGTGGGAAGCATTAGAAAGAGTGAAAAGAAATATAAAAAAGGCCATACACGCATTGTGTTTATTTGAGAGACAGAGCAAGAGTGAGTGAAGTGTTGGAGAGAGAAGGTGCTGGAAGGCCACCTGATGCCAACCCCTTCCTTATCTGTTCTTGGCCGCCAGGGGTTTCCGGCTGATCTTTTTCGATTTGTCATTATTCTTCTTTGGTGGCTCTGGGTTGGCCTGCATGTGTCTGCCGTAGAGGCTGCAAAGACAGAGACAGGAAACCATCAGATCTATTTTGCCAACACAAGATACACTTTCATTGGAAGAGCTTTCAGGAATAGAACAATCTCCAGAAATATTCAGTAAGCCAAAGAAAACCAAAAGATCACTTGCGTGTTCTCTGGGTCATATGCTGTGTTGAATATAATATTCTCTTACACACATACGCCATGCTGTCCAACCATGGACCAGTCTCTTGGGATTTCACACTCACTGGGAGAACCGGTCAGGCCCAGCTCAGCTGTTCTGGACTGAAGTTAAAAAGCTTGTGAGTGTTTAAGGTCGACAGTGGTAAAAATTGGGTTGAATGGAAGAGACGGAGTGTCCATTTAGTGAAGAGTGAGCATCAGGCTTGGCGTGAAAGCCCGGGGCTGGGTGATGTGACAGAGAGCAATGGTGTCCAAATCTGCACTGGCTGCTCACCCATGATGGATGGCATGGGGCTGGCTACCACACATCAATGCCACGTTAATAAGTACCGCTGATGAAATGCTGACAAAGTGCCCTGTAATTACGGTGGATGGCATTCACTGCACACTGAAACTGGCTCCATCGCTGAGAGGATTTAACTGAACAGCAGAAGGTAATTAATCGATAATCTATGAGTGATTCTGATTAAACCAAATTAAAAGCCACCCTAAAATAAACACAGCTCAACCTTAGCTCCTTTTATGGATATAACTGTGTCTCCACGAGAGCCTGGCGGGTGTCTCAGGTCCTCTACGGCAAGGACATTACCAGGCTCCACAGCCTGTGGTTGACTTGAACCAAGTGAAGGAGGGCTGGCACAGAGACTGGCATCTCTACCAGGCGGCCCCAGCTCCAACATCCACGCAAGGAATATACATATTTTCTCTGGATGCTGGAATCTTGGGCAGTTTAGTATTTACTGGCATCTGGCGTTTTTTTTTCTGAGCTCGTGTCTCACTCTGTTGCCCAGGCTGGAGTGCAGTGGTGTGATTTTGGCTCACTGCAACGTCCCCTTCCCGGAGTTACTGCACTTAGAGGCGCGTGCCACCATGCCCGGCTAATTTCATATTTTTAGTAGAGACAGGATTTTGCCATGTTGGCCAGGCTGGTTCTGAACTCTTGACCTCCAGTGATCTATCCGCCTTGGCCTCCTAAAATGCTGGGATTACAGGTGTGAGCCACCGTGCCCAGCTGAAATATTTTTCATAGACATGGGGTCTTACTTTGTTGCCCAGGCTGGTCTTAAACTCTTGGCCCCAAGCACTCCTCGTGCCTTGGCCTCCCAAAGTATTGGGATTGCAGGGATGAGCCACCCTGCTGGCCTGCAATAGTGGTATTCTGGATGACATTTGCAGCATGGCTGAGGGGGCAGGGCTGGCTCATGGAACTGCCCAATTCATTTTGTGACCCAGGAAAGCTGGACACTGGTTCTGAGGGCATGCTGTGTTCTAACTTCTCCAGCCTTCCCAGTGTCTTAGTGGTGGTACAAGCAGGTTGCATGACAGTCACTCTCCCACAGTGTAGAATGCAGGGTTCAGAGCTGGCCAGGGACAGACCCACGAGCCAGGGCGGGCACATGCAGTCAGGTGCTGAGCCTGCTTTAGGAAAAGGGGAGCCCGTTCTTTTGCATCAAGAAGGTTCTGTATGTCCTAGACAGAGAACATTAGAGCCTGCAAATTAGCTTTCGACTTCTCTAGAAATTAGTTTAGAGGTCTTTTTGCTGGTGTAAGGGAGACAGCAGCCCTGTTCTGCCCAGCCTGGCTGTGCCCTCTCTGAAGCCACAGGAGAAATATGTCAAGATAATCTGCTCCATAAAAACACATTTTTCAACCTATAGGGGCTCCCCCAGCCTACACTTTTAAATGGGTCAAGTTCCCCTGAAGATGAGGCCATGGGCACCTGGGGGTCCTGGGTCCCAGGTAAGAGACCACTGGTTTAGACAGGGAGGAACCTTCAGTGGGCCCAACCTTCCCTCTGTTGCTGCCCCCAATTTCCAAAGATATCTGTGTCTGAGTCCTTGAAACCTGGGAGGATGTTACCGTACATGACAAAAGGGGCTCTGGAAGTTTCGAAGTTAGGATCACCCCGTGCTGGACGGAAAGCTCACCCTGCATTAGCCAGGTAGACCCAACTTGTGTTCCTCCCCCTCAGCATCTCTCTGAGATGCAGCAAATAGAGGAAAGTAGAAGCCTCCATTCTGTTCATCCTGCATGCTCCAAAACATACTTACTGCTCTACTAGCATCTGCCCTTGTCCTGGGATGTTGATGCCCAGGGCCACTGGCAAAATGCTCAGGGGCATAACACTGCGGAGGAGACACCCTGAAGGGCTGAGGTCTCCCAGCTCCTCTCACCTGGCAGGAAGCAAGGGTCTGACTCTGTTCTGTGCCTTCACACCTGTGGCCTCGGCAGCTTCGGCTACACTCACAGCTTCCTTACAGCCTCACAGAGCTTTCCTCTATTTTCTGACCTGTTTTTCCCACAGAGCAAAAACATATATATGCACATTCTTATTCAGACAGTTTCCAACTTTAAGAATTCTTTTCTTTTTTTTCAGATGGAGCCTCACCATGTCACCCAGGTTGGAGTATGGTGGCACTATCTCAGTTCACTGCAGCCTCTGCCTCCCGAATAGCTGAAAGTACAAGTGTGCACCAGCAGGCCTGGCTAATTTTTGTATTTTTGGTTGAGATGGGGTTCCGCCATGTTGGCTAGGCTGGTCTCAAACTCCTGACCTCAAGTAATCTGCCCACCTTGGCCGCCCAAATGTGCTGGGATTCCAGGCATGAGCCACACACCCAGCCTCCAAACTTTAAGGATTGTAAAAGTCAACAGAAAGATGACTCCCCAGTTCATGCACATGGAAACCTAGCAATGCTTGAGTGCAAAGAAAGGGTCTCGGCAATGATACGAGGTCAGCAGAGGGAGAGGAGCAGTCAGAACTGAGAGGAATTGACAAGACGCTGCTTTGTGTCATGTCTTGAATGAGGGAAGGGCCGAGGTGGGGGTTGGGGGTTCCCAGAAGGGGTGGATGTTCACCTGGGCCCTGAGGATGGGAATCCAGGCAAGCGATTTCAGAAGGGGTTGCAAAGGCCGCAGGGCTCTTCTCCTTTTTCAGGGAGAACTGGAATGTTTCTGTCTCTGCCTTTTTATATTCAGATCCCACTGAGTGTGTCAGAACATCCTGGGGCTGCGGAGCAAGTCACTACAAAGGGCCAGGTGGGAGCCAGTGGCCCTGAACTTGCTGTTCAAATCCTGCTTTTGACGTTTATTAGCTGTTGACTCTGGGCAAGTCATCAGCAATGTTCGCCTCCCTCTCCGTGCCTCAGTTTCTTTATCTGTAAGCTAGAGATGGGGTTTGTCTTCCTTGCAGGGTGGTTTGGTAAGCCCGCCAGCAAGGTACCCTACTGGAAGCAGCGAGCAAAGGCTTGTTGAAAAATAGGGCAGACGGGGCGGGGCGGGGGGGACAGTTTACAGTCTAGAGTGATTAAGTCCATATAATTATATGATTACCTTCCTCCTATAGGGCCGTTTCCCCTGCAAAATAACACGGTATTTTCTATCAACGTTAAATCCCCAAACACCTCTGGAACAAAGGGTTTAATCCTCTTTGAAGAAAGCACCTGAGGCAGAGCTAAATGCGTCGCCCCACTTCCTCGGTGAGTCATCGGCAGGGCTGCGTGACGCTGCTGTCCGCCGCAGGATCCTTTAACTCCTCCAGCTGTGTGGGCAGATGAGAGGTGGTGTTTTACTAAGCGGCCATAAGTGGCCATTTTCACGGGGACATGGCTGTGGCAGTGCAGTCACAACAAGATGTAAAGTCTGGTGTTCCATTACTGGCTCTGCCAGTTGATGAGCCACGGGGCTTCAAGTAAGGGTGGTGGAGAGAATAATGCCCCCCCCCCCCCCGAAATAGCCACATCCAATGCCCGAAACCTGTGACTGTTAATTTAGATGGCAGAGGGGACTCTGCAGCCGTGACTTAGTTAAGAACCTAGATGATCCCGTGGGCTCAGTGTCATAAGAACGGTTCTTAAAAGAAAGAGGCAGGAGGGGCCAGGTGCAGGGGTACACATCTGTAACCCCAGCACTTCAGGAGGCCAAGGCGGGAGGACTGCTTGAGGCTGGGAGTTCATAACCAGCCTGGGCAACATAGGGATACCTTATTTTTACAAAAAGCAAAAAAAATGTAGGCAGGTGTGGTGGAGCACACCTGAAGTCCCAGCGACTTACTCGGGAGGTTGTGCTGGGAGGATCAGTTGAGTCCGGGAGTTTGAGGCTGCAGTGAGCCATAATCATGCCACTGCACTCTAGCCTGGCAACAGCGCAAGACCCTGACCCTAACAATCAAAAAGAAAACCAGGAACGAGGTTCAGAGTGAAAGATTTGAAGACGTTACCCTGCACACTCTGAAAATGGAAGAAGCAGCTATGAACCAAGGAACACGGTGGTCTCTCTAAACCAGAAAGGTAGGGAAGCACATTCTTCCCTAGAATCTCCTGAAGGACGCGACCTACTGATTTCAGACTTCTGACATTCAGAACTGTCAGGTAATCCATGCATTTGTTTTCAGCTACCAAGTTTTTGATAATCTGTTAGAGCACCAGTAGAGAACTAACCAAGTAGGTGAATGTCTCTGGGCCTCTTAGGGTGACCTGTGAGGATTCTGCTTAATTTCAACAGGAAAAGTGAAAAGTTTCTAGGGTAACTGCTTACTAAAACGTTGGAAAAATGAAAGAAGCAGGATTCTGATAGGCAAGGTGTGCCCCAAAGGAAAAATGGTGCTATTTCTACCAGAGGAAGTGAAAGCAGGTTTGCAAACTGTCTTCTTGCTACTACGAACTGGCTGGTCCGTGTTCCCCTGTCCTCTGAAGCTATCCCTGGTGACCTGTGTTTTGCATGAACCTGGGTTAAATTTTTTAAAATTATATTTTAAGTTCTGGGGTACATGTGCAGAACGTGCAGGTTTATTACATAGGTATACACGTGCCATGGTGGTTTACTGCATCCATCACCCTGTCGTCTACATTAGGTATTTCTCCTAATGCTATCCCTCCCCTACCCTCCCCCCCCCACCGCCCTACAGGCCTGGCGTGTGATGTTCCTCTCCCTGTGTCTGTGTGTTCTCATTGTTCAGCACCCACTTATGAGTGAGAACATGTGGTGTTTGGTTTTCTGTTCTTGTGTCAGTTTGCTGAGAATGATGGTTTCCAGCTTCATCCATGTCCCTGCAAAGGACATGAACTCATCCTTTTTTATGGCTGCATAGTATTCCATGGTATATATGTGTCACATTTTCTTTACTTGGACTGAATTTATAGCACTGACTGCGGGATGACAGAGAACAGTCAGTGACATTGAAAGACATCTTACTCTTTGCAGTTCCTACGAGGAGAAAGTATGCCATCCCATGCAAGGCACACAAAAATTTCTGTCCTCCTGACCTCTCGTGACTTGTCCTTTTCCCCCCAGGGCCTTGCTGCACACAGCTTCTCCACCTCCTGCACCTGGGAAACCCCAGCCGTCCCTCAGACTCTGGCACCACTGTCCCATCGCAGACAGCATGTGCCCTCATGCTGCTCATGCGGCATCTGTCTGGCTCCCAGCACTCAGGCTTCCTGGACAAGAGTCCCTGGGATTGACAATCACCTCTGCCTTCTGCACCATGCTCGGCCCTGAATGACATGTGCCCTTGAAAACCTCACTCCCTTGCCGCAGTCTGATGTCTCCATCTGCAAAATGAAGATGAAGATTCCCAGCTACCATGGAGGGCTTTGGCGAAGATTCAATTAGGGGAATGCTCTTGTCCACTGGGTTCCATGGGGCACACGGTGGGCATTTCAGAATGACAGCTGCCGTCTCTGACCCCTCAGGAAGCTCCTCTGATGCAGGCTACCAGGCCAGCTCCTTCTGCCTCTTGAGGCTGCTATGACGCCCTCATGCAGCCTGGAATCTGCATTGCCAGACTGTGCCTTTGGTGCCAATCTTTTGGGGGCAGCTTTGGTGGGCACTGCCACCTGGCTATGCCAGCTGGAGAGTGTATAAAGGGAGTCTGGCACAAGGTCACCCACTGGGCTGCAGTGGCTGGTGGGCAAAATGCTCAGCCCAGGAAGTGGTGGAAACCCTTGGTCATGGAGTCCTAGAAATCTCTCCCCTGAGCCCTGGGCTTGGGAGAGGAGAACTGGGAGATAATTTTTTTATTTTTAGAGACAGAGTTTCTCTGTTGTTACCCAGGCTGGAGTGCAATGGCACGATCTCGGCTCACCACAACCTCCGCCTCCTGGGTTCAGGCAATTCTCCTGCCTCAGCCTCCCGAGTAGCTGGGACTACAGGTGTGCACCACCATGCCCAGCTAATTTTCGTATTTTTAGTAGAGACGGGGTTTCACCATATTGACAAGGATAGTCTTGATCTCTTGACCTTGTGATCCTCCTGCCTCGGCCTCCCAAAGTGCTGGGATTACAGGCGTGAGCCACCGCGCCCGGCCAAGAACTGGGAGATAATTAAGAAGTGAGAAAAAACTAAGAGCACTCTGAAGTGACACAAGAGGATCAATTGCTCTTGAGAGTCTGATGAACACGCTTCTGTTGCCAAAGATGGTTTCAAAGATGTGATGCCTGCGATGCGCTCAGCGGTGGGAGATGTCACTAGGCTCTCCATCTCACTGTGAAGCCCAGAGGCCTACGTGGGAGTGGGCCCTGCTCTGAGCAGCCACCCCAGGAACCCCTGCTGATGCCCAGCTCTAGAAGGATCATTAGGAAACGATCCCGGAGACTGCGTGGGTCTGCAGGCCGGTGAGTTTGGCCACATGCTGTTAAAACAGGCTCCAGACAGGCTGCTTCAAGCTCCATGCAACTGACCACTACTGCCTATGGACAGCTGAGATCACACAGCAAAGAATTCCAGTCCACTCTTCTCGGAATACATTTTGCAAATTTTTTTTTATCAAGCAGTATGTATTATGCATGATTTTCTATTACTGACGTAGAATTTTTTTTTCTTTGAGGCAGGTCTTGCTCTCTCACCCAGGCTGGAATGCAGTGGCATGATCGCAGCTGACTGTAGCACTGACCTTCGGGCTCAAGCGATCCTCCCGCCTCAGCCTCGCAAGTAGCTGGGACTACAGGTGCGGATCACCATGTCCAGCTTATGTTAAAATCTTACTTAAATATTTTAACAGGGGTCTCACTATATTGCTAGGCCGGTGTTTCAAACCCTGGGGCTCAAACAATCCTCTCATCTCAGCCTCCCTAAGTGCTGGGATCACAGGCGTGAGCCACCATGCCTGGCTGATACGTGGATTCTATTTAATATGGGCATCTTCATTTTTGGAAAAATTACTGAGTCTATACCAGATCCAAGGTCTCACATCCCTTTGCTGCAGCAGCAAGGAAGACATTTGTTCCTAAAATGTCCTTGGTTGGTGCTAGGATGTCATCCTGGTTCTTCTTTTCTCTTTGGTCCTCGAATCTCTTGGTGTTCTCCTCCCTAGAAAGACCATCTGATTTTATAACTTTAATGATTGTCTCTGAGCAGTCTCCCTCCAAGTCCCCATCCTCTTCAGCCCACTGGGACACTTTGGCTACCAAACACCCAAAGGCAGGGAAGAGTCCCTCACCCCACCTTCACTGGTCTGTCCCTCCACATCTTCAGAACTTCAGGAGAGAATGCTGAAGTCATTTTAACATTCTTTTGGGTTTTTTTTTTGGTCACCATATTAATCATCATCTCTGATAGAAGTTTCGTTTGCTCTACAGTGGAAGTTCTTAGCCTAGGACCCTAGAAGCGTCTGAAACTCTAAAGTTGTACGTGTATATTTCAGCAGAAAGGGACTACAGCTTCCATCAGCAACTTAAAAGGCCCACAACTCATTAATTAGCTGTTTTATGGCACCTTGTTTATTTCCATCATCCATTTCTTTTTTTCTCCTACTTTAATCAGGCCAAGTCACGTGGCCATTCAATTACAATAGTTCCCTTCTTGGTCTTCCTGATGCAGGTGACTTCCCTTCCCAGTGGGTCCTACAGATGATGGCAGAACAACTCTCCCTGGTACATGCATGGAAAACAGCAACCACTGGCCCCTGGATTGGGTACCTAGCCTGGCACAGAGCAGCCACAGCGCGTGCGGCTGGGGGACCTGACTCGCCCAACGTCACCTCTCTCTGCGTGCACTAACAGGCGTGTGCAAGGTAAGGCTGGGCTTGAGGCAGGCAGGGCAGACTGCAGGAAAGATGGAGTGAGTGTGAGTTCTGCCACCTATTAGCTGAATAGCCTCGGACTCCTCTATCTTTCCAGAACGTCTGCCATCTGGATTGGAAAAGGGGAGTATTTGCCCATTATCTATCTGGCAGGTGCACTGGTAATCAGTTTTGGGTTTACTCAAGTATTCTGGAAAATGAAAAAGGGGCTAAATGAATCCAAGGCCTGAGATGAGCCTCTCCTGACAGCCAGCATTCCTTTTGGCCTGTTTTGGTTGCTTGTCTGTGTTATTATGGCCAGAAATGCCTGCTTAGGTCCCCTCTGCAACTGAGATCTCATCCATCCATATTTTGAGGCCTTAAGGACTTGCACAGCTTCCTCCTCCCCTTCTCCTTTCTGCCATCACAAAGCCCTATGGGATGTATCAGGATCTCATCACTAAGTCCTTGATGATACATAAAGTGACCCCTGACCTTGGCATGTTATCTCAAAACATCAGCAGAGCGCAGGGATCACAGCACATTTCCAATGCAGCTAACGCGCATTCATCATTCACTGTCGCAACAACCCAACGAGGAAGCTCCTATTACGATTGTTACTGGTCAGATGAGAAAACTGAGGCTTAGCAGCTCGAGGCTCGGTTAAGCCCAGGCAATGACTACAAAGTTCAGACTCTTAAAGCACTTAAGTTATCTCAGCATCGCCCATGTGGGTTTTGTTTTCCTAAGAAGTCTATCATTTTCTGCAGGGCAGGGACTGCAGGCTCAACTTCTTTTGTAGTCTATACACTCCAGGCACTGCTAGAAACACATTGTGTGCTGTGTAAATATTGTCTTTCAGAATGCCAGGTATATGAGAGGTGCAATATGCTGCTCTGAAGTCGTGTGCTCGTGTCATATGTATCCCTACTGTTGTTTTGAGTGTTTCCATGGAAAGTCCTCATACAGACCAAGAAAAGAACCAATTTGAAAATCTCAGGATATGGCCACTGAAAATAATGGAGAGAAATAATTTTGCTTCTAATCTGTAATCTTCTGGTAGGATGCAAAATTTAAAATCTCCGTAAATAGATCTGTGGACAAAGTGTGAAGCTGGGATGATTAATAAGCACTTGCAATAGCTTTATTTATCCTATCTGGCAGCTATCACGGGCTGGGGACAGACCTGAGCACATAAATTGCTGAGCCCTAAAGAAAAAAAAAATTAACAGTTACCCTAATTCCTGTGAGAAATCTCATTAATTCAAAAGGAAACTATTTTTTTTTTTGAGATCAAGCCTCTGAGAGATGGTTCCGTGCAATTTACGAATGGCAGCGTGCGTCTGTCACATTCCTCTCCATTATAACCTGCTTTCTGTTCCCAACACAGTGGAGAAGGAAAGTAAAAACATGCATGTGCAAATGGTATCTATATAAACAGCCAAAAGGAATCTGTAGTTGGCTTAACACAGATAACAAGCTATATGAAAAATAGGCTGTAAGATATCAGGCAGATTTCAAAACACCCAGACATTCGAGACTCACGATCTGCCCCACTGGAGGGGAGAAATGAGGACTCTAGCAGAGCAAAACTAACAATATCATGCACAAAAGATGCTCATTAAACTTCATCATCCTGTCTACTCTAATGATGCTCTTACTTAATAAAAATTCCCGGAGCAGTTGCAAGGATATTAGGCAAGGTCTTTGGTTATGTATCAGAGGTCCAAGCTGTCACCAGCAAGCATGCAGTTCAGGAGGTATGCTCCCTGGGGAAGGAGCTTTCACGGAATACATGCAGAGAAAAATCAATAACTGAAACTTGCTTCCTTGCTTAAGCATTTAAGAAAATAGGTAATCCTTTTAAATTAAACTGCAAAGTGCTAAATGTTGCAATTTCCAGAATAAACTTAGAGGCAAAAGGCACTCAGTTCAAGGGCACTAGTAAGTTTTCCAAACAAGCTCCTTCCCTGATAGACTGCATACCTGGAGTGGGTTTCTTTCATTTGTAAAAAGAATTATTTCCTACTTGGCATCTGCAGAGATTAAAAAGAGACATCCCACTGTATATGTCTGTATGTGCTTGTCATATGACACACAAACCCATTCATAAACATAAGGAAGTTAGGAATTATTTTTATATGGGCATTTACCCATTTAACAAATTACTCGTCCAAAACACTATTGTGGAAATCCACTAACTTGAATCTAGCTCTCCGGGCCTAATGGACCTCTTTAAACGGCGAGCTGGATGATGATATGATACAGTTGCCAATTACCACTTTGGTCCATATTAACATACCCCGCTTCAGATTTCATGCCCTGCCAATACAGACTTGGCTGGGGATGACTCTGGTTGCATCAAGAGTGAGGCACCACCCCGAAACTTGAATGTATGGGGAAATGAGATTTCCCCTGTGTGTTCAGTGATAAAAATCAACACAGATTAGATCAAAGCAGAAACAGGCAAAGTCACCCAAAATAACACCAGTGTAATTCCCAGACCAGCAGTAGCAACAGAGCTGGAGAGAGAACTGAAGTTCAGTTCAGAGTCAGTACTGAAAACGGGGGAAATGCAGGCAGTGAGTTCTATGGATGGCGGGCGGGACTGTGTGTCTCGAAGGAAGCACAGAAAACAAACAGGGCACTGCCCGCCCTGCGCACGCCAACCCACACCAGCCTGGTCCAGCTTCTGGCCAGCTCCCTTCCCTGTCTTCTGCCACAACCCTCCACAACCCTGATCCCAGCCCCTTAGGGCCTTCTGTTTGCCATTGCTATTCACTCTGGCTGCAATGCTTGTCTTGGGGTATCCCTGAGACAGGTGCTACCACCATTCCCATTTGACAAGTGGGAAAACAGAGGCACAGAGTTTAAATAAGGTGATGTGAAGGCAGGAGTTCAGACTCCAGGGTCTGGCTGTGCTTCTTGGTGTTACTGTCAACATGACTCAGTCTTAGGCCCGTCAGGGTGTCTTGTCACCCTGGGCATCGTAACTGGTTCACACACAAGCATGGAGCCGAGGAGAGCCAATGAGAAAAACCGACCTTGCATGGAGCTCAAACCGTGGGGGAAGAAAAGTCCTTCTTTTCTGTTTTACTTGAAGTAGCAATGACAAGCCCAGATCTGCAGGGACCCTGTCCTAGCACTGTGGCCAGACAGCCTGCCTGGGAGAGAAACCAGTAGATAAAGCAGAAGTGAAGGACAGAGAGAGTTTGGGCCCGAGGACGTTGTATGGGTCCCTGTGCCTGAGGTCAGCTGTATTGCTGGATGATTTTTAGCATAAAATCAAATCATCCCCCTCCCTCTGGGCTTTGTGTTCCTTGTAATCAAAGCAATGCTGAGTCCCGACTAACACATCACCTGGGTCTATGGCAGCCGTGAGTCCCCTAGCCAGGTCATGCTTGTCCGTGCTTTCCATCCTCCACTAAGTTTATTTCCATCACACCACTCATCACAGTGGAGTTACTCATTTGATGTCTGCTTCCTGTCTCCTCTGGTTCACCCCCAGAGCACAGAACCTTATCTGTCTTGTTCAGTAGAAACGTTTGTTGATTGACTGAATGAAAGTGTGCATAGCTGCACTTATTAGGAATTATTATTAAGTATCCAAATCCGTGGATCCCAAATGGATCCCTGAGACAGGGATTAGGCCCAAATCATTTTTGTTTCTCCAGCTCCTGGTGCCTCGTACACAATTGTCACCCCAAAAAAGATGAACTGACTGAATTTCTGAGCCAAGGATCATTTCCTGATGTCCTCAATTCCACACTTGTCGGGTGACTACCATCAGCTTCGCGCTTGGAGCTGTGTACTGAAGGGCTGTGTGCGGTGCAGACCAAGGCAAGTGGTCCCGTCTTTGGGGGCAGTTATCCTCTGTTGTGAAATTCCGGTTCCTCCAACAGTTTGTTAGGTGTTTTCTTCAGTTTGAGGCAGGGTTTCATTTTTCTTTTCTTTTTGGGATAGGGTCTCACTCTGTTGGCCAGGCTGGAGTGCAGTGGTGCGATCACGGCTCACTGCAGCCTCCAACACTTGGGCTCAAGTGATCCTCCTATCTCAGCCTCCTGAGTAGCTGGGACTATGAGCATGTGTCACCACGCCTGGCTAATTTTTTTTTAATAGTAGAGAGGCGGGTCTTACTATGTTGCCCAGGCTGGTCTCAAACACCTGGCTTCAAGCAGTCCTCCTGCCTCAGCCTTCCGAAGAGTTGGGCTTACAGGCATGCCAGGCCAGCTTGCAGGGCTTCTAACGCTGAAGGCTAAACCAGGTACTCAGTAAAGGTCCTGCAGTGCTGCTTAGTGAGGCCTCTAGGGAGCCAGGCCCTTGTCTTCTGGTGGCTACAGTACTCTGACCAGGGATTCTAGTAAATTCCTTTAAGGTACAAAGGACTTTTATAAAATGTTAGTTATTTATAAAGGAGGATTCAGTTAAAATGAACATTATATATATTTTATTTTTTAACTTTATTTTTATAGATGGGATCTTGCTGTGTTGCCTAGGTTAGTTTCAGATTTCTGGCCTCAAGTGATCTCGGCCTCCTGAGTAGCTGGGATGACAGGTCCAAGTCACCAGGCCCAGCTACCATTAACATAAAACTAGTGCTTTCTTCCCTTGCTGTTGGAAAAAATCAGAATGTATTTTTATCATCATGGAAGGATTGGAGTCTGAATGGCCACACAAGGGTCGCTCATGACCTCTGAAGTCATGAGGCTGGTCACAGCCAGGGCAGGACTTCCGCAGCGTGCGCACAGGAAGCTTCTCTGGCACTTTGTATATGTTAAGTCTCTAAGTAAGTCTTAAGAAGTATCAGGTGAAGGAAGCCACGTGGGGCACACATTGTCCTGTGGCTGTAGATGCAGGTAGCATTACAAACACAGATCTTGTGTCCCATTACCAGGAATGCCAGTATCTAGAGAGAAGCCTTTGCTTTGTCTCGTTTTTGTGATAAGGACAAAGGGTAAAAGCATCCGTAGTATTATCACCACTGATATTCTTCCTCCTCTCCCTATTTGTGG